ATTACCATGATACTATTTGTTGTTTTAAGTGGAACGTAACAATATATTACCGTGATAATATTTGTTGTTTTAAGTGGAACGTAACAATAGATTACCATGATACTATTTGTTGTTTTAAGTGGAACGTAACAATATATTACCGTGATAATATTTGTTGTTTTAAGTGGAACGTAACAATACATTACCATGATACTATTTGTTGTTTTAAGTGGAACGTAACAATATATTACCATGATACTATTTGTTGTTTTAAGTGAAACGTAACAATACATTACCATGATACTATTTGTTGTTTTAAGTGGAACGTAACAATATATTACCATGATAATATTTCTTGTTTTAAGTGGAACGTAACAACACATTACCATGACACTATTTGTTGTTTTAAGTGGAACGTAACAATACATTACCATGATACTATTTGTTGTTTTAAGTGGAACGTAACAATACATTACCATGATACTATTTGTTGTTTTAAGTGGAACGTAACAATATATTACCGTGATAATATTTGTTGTTTTAAGTGAAACGTAACAATACATTACCATGATAATATTTGTTGTTTTAAGTGGAACGTAACAATATATTACCATGATAATATTTGTTGTTTTAAGTGGAACGTAACAATATAGACTTAGACCTATCTCTATTAGATCTATGAGTATATTTGATTCGGTAGTTTGGAATGAAGTGATTGAAGCCAGAACCTTTTTATTCCAAGTTTGCCACAAACCAGTTCAAGAGAAATCGTCTGTGGGACAAATTAAGCCTGAACTTTATAAAAAAGAACTAGTTAGGCAGGCTTCTACCGACAGCAGGGACGCCCTGGAAGAAGAAGAAGAAGACATAAATGTAGGAATACCTTGTGGAAAACTACATTTTACTCTTAAATACGACTCTGATGTAGAGGGACTCATTGTCAGAGTAAGAACAGTCATTATTATGAAATTAATTACCAAGTATGTTTGTTTGTTTTTGAATTTCGCGCAAAGCTACACGAGGGCTATCTGCGCTAGCCGTCCCTAATTTAGCAGTGTAAGAATAGGGGGAAGGCAGCTAGTCATCGCCACCCACCGCCAACTCTTGGGCTACTCTTTTACCAAAGAATAGTGGGATTGAGCGTCACATTATAACGCCCCCACGGCTGAAAGGGCGAGCATGTTTTGTGTGACAGGGGATTCGAACGCGCGACCCTCAGATTGCGAGTCGAGTGCCTTAACCACCTGGCCAATTACCAAGTAAATATATATACAAATTTAAATTATAATTTTTCCAAATAGTTTTGAATTGTTTTCGAGTTTTCACAATTTTGATGTTGAAGAGTGGTCTGTTATCCTGTGGAATGGGTAAAATGGTAAAAAAAAGGAAAGGATTCAAGTTTTCTTGAATATACCCAAGATTTGTTTGTCTTCTCTTTCGTTCTCTATTTACATATATTTATTTATTTAATATTCAATATTCAAACTGTAAATCAAGGTGATATTCACATGAGAAAAAAATCTACCAGAATCATCAAATATTTTACTGTCTTTATTTTATCAGAAGCATAGAGTTTTCATTCATTGAATTCTTTCAAAATCGTGGGATTCTTTACTGATTAGGTTAGCCAGAAGCACGGGATTCTTTACTGATTAGGTTAGCCAGAAGCACGGGATTCTTTACTGATTAGGTTAGCCAGAAGCACGGGATTCTTTAATGATGAGGTTAGCCAGAATCACGGGATTCTTTACTGATTAGGTTAGCCAGAAGCACGGGATTCTTTACTGATTAGGTTAGCCAGAAGCACGGGATTCTTTACTGATTAGGTTAGCCAGAAGCACGGGATTCTTTACTGATTAGGTTAGCCAGAAGCACGGGATTCTTTAATGATGAGGTTAGCCAGAATCACGGGATTCTTTACTGATGAGGTTAGCCAGAAGCATAATATTTCTTTAATTCGTCTTTGCCTATGAACATTAAAGGATACTCATCGTCTAGGGTCTATTAAAATATTTGATTCTTTTTGACCTTATATTTTAACTTTTGTCGTTTGCAATTATTTCATATTTTACCGCTAGGTGTTGCAGGCTCGAGACCTTCCTGCCAAGGATCTTTCAGGAACATCAGATCCTTACTTAAAGCTTTACTTACTTCCTGACCGTAAGAAAAAGTTCCAGACAAGGGTATGTCGAAAATTAATCTTCTCAAAGTGTGTGATTCGTCATTTCCTGGAAAATGCTTTGGAATTGTTGTTGTTGTTTTTTTGTTGTTGTTGTTGTTTTAGAAACTTCTAAGGTTACTACAGCTTATCTTGTTCAACAATATTTTTGTGAGAAAATTCAAATTATTGTCTGAAGAATTCTTTGAAAGTTCAAACCAAAATAGTTCAGATGTAAAAATATACCTGGTAAAGATAATTAATACATATTGCCTGAATAATGCAATACAATCCTAGTATACATATATATATATATTGCCCGAAGAATTCATTATAAACATTTGTACATATTTCCTGAATAATATAATTGTTTCTAAAAAAATATAACATATAGTTACGTACTTTAAGCATCTTATATCAAGTCATTAAACATTCAACGTCTTTACGAAATAGTTTATTTATTATCATTTTGTTTTTTTTTCTTTTCTCTTATGTTTTTGGAGCTAGAATCGTTGAAACACAAAACAAAAAATCGACTCTTTCATTGCACTCTTTTTTTTTTTTCTACAAAGTTTAAGTTCGAATTTGTCTTCGACAGGTTCACAGAAAAAACCTCAACCCCGTTTTTAACGAGACTTTCGTATTTGGAGCAACGTGCAACCAGTTGAAAAGCCGAACGTTACAGTTTTCCGTTTATGACTTTGACCGGTTTTCCAGGCATGACTTGATAGGTCAAGTGTTGGTTAAAGGTCTGGAGGAGATATGTGACATCAACTATGAAGTAGAGTACACCATGGATATTTTATGTGTTCCACCGGTAGGTCTTATCTGGACGTTGATTACCACATTCTCTTTTATATGATCTACGTGGAGGTGTTGTATCTATTTATTGCAGCATGTTGCGCCGATGGATATTAATCGAATATTCGTATGGAAAAAGATACAACAGAAACCGAAGTATTAGACATTCCATTGTTGTTGTTGTTGTTGTTTCACTAGTATGAGGCCCTTACTCGTAAAATCTCAAACTTTAAAAGTGAAGGAAAAGAATAAAAATTAAAAACGCGTCAACCACACTGTATTAGCTATATCCAGCGTCGACAAAGGTTTTAACCCATACCAGGGCTCATCAGTCCGGGCTGGGCCACGAACTATAACGTTTTTCATGTGTGATATAGTAGCGTATAGTAGCGTGTTTTTATCAGAAGTCACGCTGAAAACATAATATAACGTGTTTTTATCAGTACTTAAATATATTGATTTTATACACAGTCAATAGACAACACAAAAATTGATTGTCACAATGGGACTGTTAGCAGAATTTTAAGAAATTAAGTACTCGTAATACTTTGAGATAACAGCCCATCAAAACATCAAGAAAGCTGTTACATCCTAACCAAATTTACACACGTTGAAATTCATTAAATAGTGTTGTATATTCTTTTTTAGATGTTATGATATATTTGTTATATATTCTTCTTTAGATGTTATGATATATTTGTTATATATTCTTCTTTAGATGTTATGATATATTTGTTATATACTCTTCTTCAGTTATTATGATATATTTGTTATATATTCTTCTTCAGTTATTACGATATATTTGTTATATATTCTTCTTACCTTATTATGATATATTTGTTATATATTCTTCTTCAGTTTATTATGATATATTTGTTATATATTCTTCTTTAGATATTATGATATATTTGTTATATATTCTTCTTCAGTTATTATGATATATTTGTTATATATTTTTCTTCAGTTATTATGATATATTTGTTATATAATCTTCTTCAGTTATTATGATATATTTGTTATATATTCTTCTTACGTTATTATGATATATTTGTTATATATTCTTCTTCAGTTATTATGATATATTTGTTATATACTCTTCTTTAGATAATATGATATATTTGTTATATATTCTTCTTCAACTATTATGATATATTTGTTATATATTCTTCTTCAACTATTATGATATATTTGTTATATATTCTTCTTCAACTATTCTGATATATTTGTTATATATTCTTCTTCAACTATTATGATATATGTTATATATTCTTCTTCAGTTATTATGATATATTTGTTATATATTCTTCTTACGTTATTATGATATATTTATTATATATTCTTCTTCAGTTATTATGATATATTCGTATGAGATGAAGATCTTCAAACGCACGGTGGTCAACTACCATCAACGACATTAGAAGCTACATGTCACGTGTTAAAGTTAGAATGTCATCCATGTTAGGGCTAGACTGTTACTATAAGGCCACTGTTGTTGAGAGAACCTTTCCTCGGACCCCTATTAAGAATTAAATTAGACTTAATACAAAAAGCATTAATATATCGTATTTCCGAGAATACTTTGAAGACACTCACTATTTTATTTTAACTTTTTAATGATCTTTTTAAACAACTATAGAGACTTTTATCAAATAAATTTATTACAATGTCTAAAATCAGACCATTTAGTAACTTTCTGAATCAGTTAAGATATGTGTATGTGTTTATTTTGTCTCTTGATGAACTCCAAAATGTTCCCTCGGTTTTATCCCTGAAATATACAAACCTCCGACTTTGTACATGATAACAACCACGTCCTGTACAAGAACAACATGAGTATCTTTTTTCTTATATTTGTTCAAACTATGAATATTATTTTAGCTTCATTCAGACCAGCAGGGTAGAACCCATGAACTGTGATGAATCTCTGTAAAAATACTTAGAGCACATGAAACTGACATAAATAATAATATTAAATGTATATTTAATAACATCAAAATTTGTAAAATAAATATATGTTATATGATAAAATCCGATGTTATAATCTAATTATGTTAGATATTATTTATGTTACGGACCCAATAATTAAATAATTAATAATGTTTTTTAACTGAGTTCATAACACGATTTAAGTAAATATCCTCGTGAATTTTTTTACCAACAGAATGCCTTCGTTAAAGTTATCGTTATTTAACATTTGTTAACCTAATTCAACGTTTCTATGCTAAATCTTGTAAGAATTCTATTTGTGGTATACGAGTGTTGAATGTTTGAAAATTGTGAATATAACAAATAGTTTCAGTACGGTAGTGCTTAATATTAGGGATCAACAAGGATTCTAAATAATTCGTTAGCTCAGCTAGCATCTAGACGACTCGGACTATCGCTAAAGGATTTTTCCAGCTTACTTAACTGGTCTATGGGTATTCGCTTTGATATTGGGATAAAAATCTACATATATACAGGTATAATATAAATGGTAAACGTATCATACACGTACTTTAATATCTTTTCATCCCAACGGATGGCGCTACATCTCGATAGATAGACACGTGACTGTTTCTAAAGGTAAAGTATATACTTTATATAGGTATGATATATTAAGTAAACAAGCAAGAGTATTCAAAAATTATGAATTTTAAAATGAAGTAGGGATCCTGCTACAAAAAATAATGAAACAAAATTAAAACCACAATCACAAATTTATAAAATTTAATCCCTACTTTGACAGCTTTATACACTTATCTGTAGGCCAAAGTAAGGATTACATTTAATAAATTTGTGATTGTGGTTTTAATTCTTGTAAACTTATGGTTATCAGAGATATGGATATACTGAAAGTTTATAGATGTTGTGTCCATTCTGTGGACATATAAAAACTGAACAAATAAGTAGAAACAAAATTAAAACTTCAACAGAAAATAAGGATCATTGGTTATTCATAGAATTGCTATAAAAGTATCAAAACAAAATAAATGATGTGATAAAAAGTACACAATCAAGTAAAGTGATGCTAATTGGATAGATTTTAAAACAATTTTCTATCATTGCTTTGATTGGCATTGTGATCTGTATAGCTAAATGAAGCAGTCTAAATTTGCAAACCATATTAAGGATTGAAAATCGTTTTGAAATCTATCCAACTAGTATCACTTTACTTGTTTGTGTTCTTTTTATTGCAGAATTTATTTTGTTTTGGATACTTCTAATAGCAATTCTGCGAATCAATAACGATCCCTACTTTCTGTTAAAATCCATTTTTTTATTTATATAGTAGAGTTACAGTATCAAATATCGAAAGTTAACAAAGCAATGAATTCAGTAAGCCTAATTTTAGGGATAAAAATCATGCCAAAAAGCAGACGTTTTTACCCACATTCCTGGTGAATGAAAAGTAATGTGAGCTGCCATCTAACGTGATGTTTATCAAGAATATTAGGCCTTTGTAGCATTAATGTTTAAAACCAACGCAGTTCCCTGTGAGCCTGTTGAAGCTTTACAATTTTCTCACTTTCCCTTGGTGTTTTTCCATTTTTATAAAACTGTCTTATATTCATATGTGGGTGTAAGACTAGGTTGTTCCTGTGATGTTTGTACTATCAGATGTTCCCTGGAACTACTGGGCATTTAGCAAAAGACGGTCACGTTCTAAAAGCGCGTGAGCTTATACATAACATGAAAGATTTTCATTATTACACAGAACGTATTGAGGTTTCGGAGTTATCCATTATCTATCGATGTTTCGGAGTTATCCATTATCTATCGATAGTTTGGAGTTATCCATTATCTATCGATATTTCGGAGTTATCCATTATCTATCGATGTTTCGGAGTTATCCATTATCTATCGATATTTCGGAGTTATCCATTATCTATCGATAGTTTGGAGTTATCCATTATCTATCGATATTTCGGAGTTATCCATTATCTGTCGATATTTTCAACGTTGCTATATTTATATATCAATGGTGAGAAATTTGCTGACTAAATGTTCTTCTACTGAGAATGTTAAACATTAGAAACCATGGTGTATTTAAGTGTTTTACACTCACAAAAAAATAATCCTATCATTCTATAGGTATTAGAAGAACTTGTAGCATTCCGCCACAATTTAATTTTTCGTATTTTTTTCTACCCGACACTAGGCAGCTGATACATAGTTGAAGAGAAACTAGTCTGGCCCACAAACACACCCCCGATGAAAGAATAGACCATTCCAAGCTTTTACTTGTTGTTAAACAAATGTTTAAACAACTCTGTTCAATTAGAAACCATGTTTCTTTATTTATAATCCAGTTTTATGAGTATTATCAATGCTCTTGAATAATAAAGAAAGATGTTCTTCAGTGATAAAAACACCAAACATTTAAACATCACAATAATAGGGACTATTACTACCTGTTTAAACTGAGAACATACACATATCACAATAATAGGGACTATTACTACCTGTTTAAACTGAGAACACACACATCACAATAATAGGGACTATTACTAACTGTTTAAACTGAGAACACACACATCACAATAATAGGGACTACTAGACCACCGGTTGGGTCACCCACTATTCAAAGGTTATGAAGAATTCAAGCTAATTTCAATATTGCACCGAAATGAAGGTTTATTTTGAGATAATTTAATTAACTATTTCAATCCATTCGTGTTATTCATAATTCAAGAAAAAAAAACTTGATTGTTGATCGGGAGTAAAAGGAAAGACCATTTCATTTTTCAAAAAAGTGAAGTCAGAGTTTTCGGGTATTGTGATGAATTAGTTCATGATGTTGTGGTCTTTCCTCTTAAACCTTCTACAGATAAGAAACAGTAACACTTTATTTTTCTTCGAATTACCTACCATAACCAAGGCACATTATTGACAAATTCTTCAAGATCTTTTTTTTTGTCATCTCACGCGTTTTAATGAAGATGGAAACGTTGACAGGGAAATAGATTTGAATGAAGAAGTTTCATAAAGAGCGCGAACGGTAGTGTGATGCAAAATTACCCATGCTAGAAATTTTCATAAAAGTGACCCGAAAAACGGGGCTAACTCGGTAAACCATGGCCAGATTTTAACGAAACTTGTTTTATTCTGTTTTTATTCTCATTTCATTACAAATATGGCGGCAGTATTTTGCTGTATTTAATTACAGACAAGCAAACAAACAATCTCAGAGTTTTAGTAGTATATATATTACTACCTGTTTAAACTGAGAAGAAATACATCACAATAATAGGGACTATTACTAACTGTTTAAACTGAGAACACACACACCACAATAATAGGGACTATTACTACCTGTTTAAACTGAGAAGAAATACATCACAATAATAGGAACTTTTATTTCATGCTTAGATTGAGAAATTACCAAAATACTATTTCTCTCAGCAATTACTTTAAAATTGGAGTTATAGTAAATTGAAACTGAACACGTGGACTACTTCATGTTGTAACTAATACAAAACAAGATGGAGTTTCTGAAAAATGTTTTGGTATTTTTAGTTTGGTTATTGTTCAAAACAAAGCTACACGGTGGGCTCTTTATGCTCTGCCCACCACAGAGCCCCCAGTGGCTCAGTCTTAAGTCTGCAGGCTTACAACGCTAAAAATCAGGTTTTGATACCCGTGGTGGGTAGCGACAGATAGCCCATAATGCATCTTTGTGCTTAACACCAATCGAAACCCGATTTTAGACTTCAAAGCCCTCATACTTTCTGATGAGCCATTGGTGGGGTGGTGAGCTTTTGGATTAACGCAACTGAATGTTATCCTTGTTTTTTTCCAATAAAACAACAACTATCACGTTCTTTAGATCCCAATTTAGCCGGGTTTTCTTTATTATTAATGTACAGTACGCTATTTACTTCTTCGTGTGATCAGTTAAAAATCCAATATCCATTTTAATTAAAAGATTGCATCTTTGTCACGTAATCTTACTAAGGTAACAAAGTGTCCAACAACTCTGTTTCGTGTAATTAAACATATTTGTAGAATAAAAACGAAAATAATAATAAACAGAATTACTCCATTATTGTTATTGCCGAAACACGAAAGAAGAGCTGAACGTTTTTGTTTTGATATATTTAATAAAATATTTATATATATATATGTCTGTTTGTTTTCTTGCTGATAGGAAAAGAAGGACCTGGGAGAGATTATGTTATCTTTGTGCTATTTGCCCACAGCTGGAAGACTTACGATCACGGTGATTAAAGCCAGATATCTCAAAGCCATGGATATAACTGGCTCATCAGGCGAGTGAGGAGTTTTAAACTAAACTATAGCAGTAAACTAAGACATACTCTCGAAACAGATCTTCCCGAAACCAACTGGAGTAGGCTTAACGCATAATGATTCGTTCAATTTTTTTGCAGGAACATTATGTATCGTTATTTAACAAAACTAAAAACCTTATTCGTGAATAATCGGGGCTAACAATTAAATCAGATGGAAGATGAATTTTTTTATAAAAATCTCAAAAATAATGTTTATACAATTAGTGTATAATTCCATCATCATTTCAACTTTGCAATATCTTTCTTTTTATTCAACTGAAAACGTTTTTTTTGTTTATGGAATACTGGCTATTTTTGTGTGTTTAGGTTGTTCCTAAAGCTTCCAATCTCTTCCTCAGATCCTTATGTTAAAGTTTACCTCATGTGCCAGGGAAAACGAATAAAGAAAAAGAAAACAACGGTGAAAAAAGAATCATTAAATCCCGTTTATAATGAGGCTTTGGTGTTTGATGTACCTGCGGAAAACATTGATGACGTCAGTCTGCTTGTGAAAGTTCTGGATTACGACAGGTTAGCCAGTTAGACTGAGTAGTAACGATTAAAGTTGTTTGTTGCTTTGCCAAATTATCGAAGTTCTAGCCTCGTGTGAAGGTAGCTAGTAAGCCTACAACTCTTGGGCTACTCTTTTACCAACAAATAATAGGATTACCAATGACATTATAATAGGATTGCCCATGACATTATAATAGGATTACCCATGACATTATAATACGATTACCACTGACATTATAATAGGATTACCCATGACATTATAATAGTATTGCCCACGACAATATAATAGGATTCCCACTGACATTATAATAGGGTTACTTATGACATTATAATAGGATTGCCCATGACATTATAATAGGATTTACATGACATTATAATAGGATTACCAACGACATTATAATAGGATTACCCATGACAATATAGTAGGATTACCCATGACATTATAATAGGATTATCCATGACATTGTAATAGGATTATCAATGATATTATAATAGGATTATCCATGACATTATAATAGGATTACCCATGACAATATAATAGGATTACCACTGACATTATAATAGGATTGCCCATGACATTATAATAGGATTACCCATGACATTATAATAGGATTATCAATGATATTATAATAGGATTACCCATGACATTATAATAGGATTATCAATGATATTATATTAGGATTACCCATGACAATATAATACGATTACCACTGACATTGTAATAGGATTATCAATGATATTATAATAGGATTACCCATGACATTATAATAGGATTACCAATTATATTATAATAGGATTACCAATTATATTATAATAGCATTACCCATGACACTATATTAGGATTACCAATTGTATTATAATAGGATCACCCATGACATTATAATAGGATTACCCATGACATTATAATAGGATTACCAATTGTATTATAATAGGATTACCAATTGTATTATAATAGGATTGCCCATGACATTATAATAGGATTACCAATTATATTATAATAGGATTAACCATGACATTATAATAGGATTGCCCATGACAATATAATAGGATTACCCATGACATTATAATAGGATTATCAATGATATTATAATAAGATTACCCATGACATTATAATAGGATTACCCATGACATTATAATAGTATTATCAATGATATTATAATAGGATTACCCATGACATTATAATAGGATTGCCCATGACATTATAATAGGATTATCATGACATTATAATAGGATTACCCATGACATTATAATAGGATTGCCCATGACAGTATAATAGGATTATCAATGGTATTATAATAGGATTACCCATGACATTATAATAGGATTGCCCATGACATTATAATAGGATTATTCAATGATATTATAATAGGATTGCCCGTGCCATTATAATAGGATTATCAATGATATTATAATAGGATTACCAATGATATTATCATAGGATTACCAATGATATTATAGGATTACCCATGACATTATAATAGGATTGCCCATGACATTATAATAGGATTATCAATGATATTATAATAGGATTGCCCATAACATTATAATAGAATTATCAATGATTTTATAATAGGATTACCAATTATATTATCATAGGATTACCAATGATATAATAGGATTGCCCATGACATTATAATAGGATTATCAATGATATTATAATTGGATTGCCCATAACATTATAATAGGATTATCAATGATTTTATAATAGGATTACCAATGATTTTATAATAGGATTACCAATTATATTATCATAGGATTACCAATGATATTATAGGATTACCCATGACATTATAATAGGATTATCAATGATATTATAATAGGATTACCCATAACATTATAATAGGATTACCTATGACATTATAATCGGATTACCCACGACAATATAATAGGATTACCCATGACATTATAATAGGATTGCCCATAACATTATAATAGGATTACCCACGACAATATAATAGGATTACCCATGA